TTAATTTAATTTTATCATGCATTACTGCCTTCGGAATCACGTGTTTCTTCTTCCTTTTTGAAATCCTGTACTTTTAACAGCAGTTCGGCAAATTTTTCTCATCGACATTTTTAAGTGGATTCTGTAACCATCCAACTTCCTCTAATTTGTCTTCTTTTGCCTTTGTTTTTTGGATTTATTCTAAGATAGAGGAGTCTGTATTTGTTTTTGTCAAGTATATGTTCAGGGTATATATATTGTCTTGCAGATCCTCCTCTGTCGATTTTGTCTGCCTTTTTTTTACTCAAAATTCCTTTGTGGTCAAGTACCCAAGAAATTATAGGTTGTTGCGTTTTTGATTTTGGAAATTTTGGATGCATTCACTGACTTTTTGGTGTGATCTTTTTACGCGTTACTGCTTTAAATGCTGTTTGATTATTTATGTTATAAATTTTTTAGCAGTGTTTCTTTTGAGGGTTTGTAAAGGTGAACTTCCCTAATTTGTTCCGTTTTTATTTGTTTAGGGCCTGTACAGAAAAAATGCCTGATCCAGGACCTTTATTTGTTTTGGGGTGATCTGTATACCACCTTGTATTTGATCTAATTTCTTCTTCTATTTGTACTCTGTTGAGACTTTATAGAATGTAAATGTTTGAGGGTACATATGGTCATACCCCATTTGTACGATTGGGTCGGATTTTATTAATAATTGTTTTATGCCCTAAATGTTTAGTGCGCGATTTAATTATTTTTGCTGCTTGAATGAACTTTGCCTCGCTTCTCCTTGTATAAATATTTCCAGTGGAGGTAGATTTTTAACATTCCGATGCGATTGATGGAGTTGTTTACATTACACCTGTGATGATCCATAGTTTTGTCAGTCTTTGTATGTTGCGTAATGTTTGGGTTTTGTTGAGCTTTGATCCACCAGATTAGAGCAATAAGTTAATTTGGGGCTTATTAATTTTTCGGAGGAACAAGTGTTTCTTGAAACATTCTAAAAGATTTTCAATTTTTAGGAGAAGTAAGTTTTTCTGATAGCATTACATGTTTATGTATTCCTTGGCCTATTTAACATTCATTAAATCCTTTTTCTCGAGATTATTTTTGCTGCCTGACTATTTCACTTTTGAAAAAACCCAGGTACGATGTAAAAAAAAGACGACTCGTAAAAAAACCCAACGGAAGAATGATACTTCTCAAAGGAAAAGCATTAAAAGCTCGTAACTGGTATATTCACAGGACATGCTCTTGTTAAGCATCACCTTTAAAAAAATGATACTATTAGATGACCAATTAAGTCTAGCGGAGACAGAAACAATTGAACATATCCTTTGCAGCCCTGCAACAGCTCAGCAAATGATTTGGTCTAGGAAAAGCACTTGTGCAGGATAGTCTTTTATACTATTCCTCTGAGAATAAGTCTTTACATCATTAAATAAAAACATCTTCCAGGAAATCCCTACGGCTCCATATGGAAAAAAGAATCTCATTACAAGCAGCTGGATGTTTTCTGCTCATACCTGAATGCATAACTCTACTTTTTGAAGCAACCTCTAAGAATTTAATTTTTGAGAAAAGTTCTAAGCTTAAATTCACTAATTTCGTGGTCCGCTTGACCAATTAATATATTACAATTAATTAAGGTTTTTAGTTGAGATAAAAAAGTCAATGGCACGAGCGGGATTCGAACCCACGATCTTCGGCTTGATACGCCGCTGCTCTACCACTTGAGATATCGTGACCTCGATCCATTCAGACACCACCACCTCCCATCTCAACCGCACCTTTTGAATTGTCCATGTTCTATGCATTGCTTGAAATGGGAATCCTTGTTAAATACTGCTGTCTGACAATTTCATTTTTGGAAAATTATCGATTTGTGTGCATAGAAGTAATCAGCCGAATACTCCTAGCGTGGTTAAACAGACTAGAAATGGGAGAACGAGAAAATCTTTTTAGCAGAAAGGAATTAAAAAAACTGGTATGTCCATAGGACATGCTACTATATTTAAGTATCACCTTGAAAAATGGGATTATCAGATGACCAATGTCGATTATGTACAAAAAGAGACAGAAGCAAATGTACATATTCTACGCTCCCTGCAATAGCTAAGAAAAGGCTATGATGCCTAGGAAAAGCTATTGTGCACTATAGACCTTCATAACATCCCCCTGAGAAGAATTCTTCACTTCATCAAAGAAGCGAAAATCTTCCAGGAAATCCCTACGACTCCAAATGAAGAAGACAAAAAGGATATCTTTATTGCAAACCTCCGGAACCTTTTCACCTCCTCGGATTTACAGCCCCACACCTGAGCTGCGTAACCTTTTGAAGCAAAAACATTTTCCATTTTTGGGGAAAGTTGATATTACATGAATTCCTTGGTGTGTTCAACAATTCATTAAATCCTAATGAAAATGATAGATTTGCCGGTGTAGAAGTAATGAGTCGAAGACTCCAAGCTGTCGGTGTGGGTCGACTGATAAGAAATCCCAGTGGTCTGTAGTTTCTAATTAAATTTACAGTCATTTTTTTTTTTGTTAAGTCATGGCTCATCAGGATTATTATTACGGAAGGTCTTGTATTTGTTTTTCACCGTTAATTCACGAGAATACTGTGACCTCTTGTCTGCCGGTCAGAGGGGGGATATCCACCCGAATTCAACGTCTTTCTTCTGTTTCGGACGGTCTCCTCCTCCTCAAAAGTGCAGGTATAACGACAGGAATGGTTCGTTCGGGTTTTTGTGTCTGTAATAGAATCTTCTTCCCCTTCTTTCTTCTTCCTATCCGCTTTTCCCCTCTTAATACATCCCCCTCCATGAAGGCTTCACTCACCGCTTAGTGATCGTAAGCAAGCCGATCCGACTCGTGACCTCAATCCCGTTTTTCGGCTTTCATTTAATTTCGTTCAACTTCCACAAAAACGGTTCATTCGGAGAAAACGCCCTGCTTCAAGCACAGACTTTGCAGACATGTGAGGAGGAGGTATTCAGAGTTGGTGAGTCGACGGCGGTACAATTCCGACTTTTTTTTATTTTTGTTTACCACCATCCCGACTCCCTTCGGTGTGTGTTATTTTAATTGCTGCTCTCAGGCCCCAACCTTCAACTCGGACAGGGTCTTACACAACTTTCTTCACATTCAATCACTCCCGACGAATAATCTTTATTGCATCTTGCGCCACTCTCAACGCTTTCTCCAATTTTATGCCTTTTTTCATTTATTTGTGACAGATTCTTGTACAATCGTCTTAGTTGATTTTTTTTGTTTTTTTTCAAAACAAAACAAATTTGTTGCTCAACTTTTTTAACCGGTCCTTTGTTCTCGTTTATATGTTTAAGGGTGAGTGTAAAGTTTTCAAGGCCGTTTTATGTTCTTGTCCTTCCACCTTTACAATAGGTTGATCCTGGGCACCCTTCGAGCTTTACTCTAAAATGGCCGTTATTACTCCACACCCAACCATTGATTTTCACCGGGGTTTAACGTGGCAAATGTCAACTGGCGAATCTCTTTATAATTATTTTTTTCTATTATAACGCCTTCAATATTATAATAATATTGTCAACAAACCATCGGGTAAAGACTAAATCAACAAAGCCTTGTTAAATTCCTAGGCCCTTTAAACGGGGTTTTTAAATTTTCTTTTTCACGGTTAAACTTCAGAGAAGGGCGATTGTTGACCAATTTCTATTGATTTGAGTAAGTTTCGTGTTTCTTGATTTTATCAAGGGAGGAACGTTTTTGTACTTTGCGATTAACATTTATCGCCAATCTATTATATACATCCAAAATGCTGTTTTCTTCTTAAATAATCTTGAAAAAAATGGGATTTTTTTCATTTTTGTTATCTTTTTTTTTCTTGGGTGGTTGAATTATTTTTAATAAATTTATTATTCTTTTCTGAAAATGGTTAAAGAAATTTTCAAATATACGTTTCGTGATCCCTACGTCATTGTTCATTTCTGTAAAATATTTTAATTTTAAAGCTATTCTTTTTATTATGTAAATGGTACTGGGTGACGATACGTAGATTTGAAAATTTAACCACCTTCAAAAAAACAAAAAACCCTAAAAATAAGACAAATTTAAACGATCCCATTTATAAAAGTGCTTTTTTCCAAGTGGACCTAGTTAGTTTTATTTTATTATTTCATTTCAAAGAATATCTCTTTTCTGGGACACCAAAGCCCACCTCAGGTATAACATGTTCAATTCCTGAGCATTTTCTGTAAATTCAACCCTACAAGAATTTGCAGAATTGAATTTATCGCAGAAATTCAATTCCCGTTTCATAAATAACACATTAATGAACGATGGTTCTAAGGTCAAAGGTTTCTAGTTTTAATTCCATTTATTTATTTATTTTTTTTTTTTTTTTTTGTTTGTTTATTAAGAGAATGCCGCCGGTATTAATCTTTGATTAAAACGCTTTCTAAAATTAATACGACGAAAGGCACTTAACAAAGGAACAAGATTATTTTGTTTTTTTTATAGATGTATTAACTTGTGTTATATATTTTTACAAAATTTGCTTTTATTGATTTTTTTAGTGAGTTTTTCTTTCTTGGAATTTTTCGGTGTTGTGTCAATTGGGGTGCATTACCAGAGCCAAACACGTCTTCGGCGTCGCGATGACCGTGCAAAACTCACTGCTGACTCAGTAGTTCGGAAAAAACGAGCTGTAGCTTTTCAAAATTAGTTATTAAAAGCCGAATTATTTTTTTTTTCGATCCACCCGATGAATCAGATGTCGTTTTAGGAAGCGATAAAAAAAGAAAAAAAACGTCGTCCTTGAGCTTCGAAATTCTTCAGTCGACCACCTGCGACTCTTTTTGAACAACACCACTTCACATCATTGACTCCATTCACGATTTTTACATACTCTGATTTTTTTTACACTTGGCATTTTTATTTTTAAAAATGGTTCGTTTATTCAGAAATTTCTTGCCCTCAATTTATTTAGAGTTTTAATTTATTTTTAAATTAGTTGTAAAAAAAAATTTTTCTTCTGTTTTCAGATGTCTGCCGGATCCCAGTTACAGATGGCACCTCAAAGCGGGCTACAACAAGCCCACAGCCAGGATTCCAACCTGAGCACTGGTATATAATTATTTTGTACTGTATCTCTCTCTCTATCTATCCGTCCATCTCTCTCTTTCTTTCTTTATATTATCTATCTCTACCTACCTATCTATCCATCCATCCATCCATCTCTCTCTCTCTCTCTCTCTCTCTCTCTCTCTCTCCCTCCCTCCCCCTCTCTCTCTCTATCTATATCTATGTCTNTCTCTCTCTCTCTCTCTCTCTCTCTCTCTCTCTCTCTCTCTCCCTCTCCCTCTCCCTCTCCCTCCCTCTCTCTCCCTCCCTCCCTCACTCCCCCTCTCTCTCTATCTATCTATATCTATCTATCCATCTATGTATCCATCTCTCTCTCTCTTTCTCTCTATCTCTCTCTCTCTCTCTCTACAAAAAAATAATAAATACATGGTTCATTGTAAAACAAATAGATGCAACATACTGACCACAATAAGGTTATTCGAAGTGATTGAAGTTCAATAAATTAAAATCAGAGTAAAATTAGTAACTTGAGACCAAATCTTGTGTGATTGATAAATAAAGTGTTCATCATCATCTTCTCTCTGGTGAGAGAGAGAGACAGACAGACAGAAACAAACATTCCAGCAAGTAAAAATAATTCTAATAAAACTTTTCATATATACAGAGTGTATACTAGATAGAAGCATATCATATTAGTCGCTTTAAAATAAGGAATGAAAAATAACAATACAGACAAGTATAAGATCTTTGTGTGCGTGTCAAGATTTCCAGATTTTCATTTACATGTTGCATACCTAGGTGTTTTTAGTTAATTTTTTTAACGCTATCTAATTAGATGTTTTTTAAGAGATGTAAGTAAAAACACATAAAGATCACAGTACATATACTATTAAATACGAGTGTGTCCTTACAAGTACAAGAAAAAGCTTTTGAGAATGATAAATTTCATTACCTTCGATTGTTCAAACTAATTTGGATCAACGAAAATTCGTATTAGCCGAATAACTTCAATAATGAAGAAACAAACGGTAAAACTGGTCTGGTTTATTAAAGGATGTATGAATAGATGTTGATCAGGGAATACTAACATGTACTTTTGAAAAATAAGCTGGAAGTTTTGGAAAGCTGGAGTAAGGCGACAGTGTAGTTGATCTGCCGTCTGATCATTTTGATCTTCCTGTCCTAGCTGTTTCGATCTGGCGGATTCTTTCCAGATGTCACCATGTTTAGTTTTTAATGATAATTTTAGTTAAAACCCAACACTGAAGATGGTGAAAAAACTTTGGAAAGCACCAAACTACAAGTTTTTCATCTCATAGGCCCAACACTTTAAGGGTTCATCATAAGGCAGTAGAGTTATGAGTGAGCAAAGCTAAAAAAACTGACCATAGCTTTTAAATTCAACTATAAAATTTAAAAAAAGTATTTTACAAACTGAAAATTTTTTATTCACCAACCGATTTTTCAGATTTAGCATGTTTATTAGAATTTTTGGATTGTAGGATGTGGTGGAATAGTTCAGTGGAATTCCACAACAATAATATAACATGTAACTGTAAAAGTATTTGAAATTGTCCTGTCTTTTATTCTAGAAATATCTCACAAAATGTAATTAGTAATAAGGACACTTTTCTTGTATGGTGAGCAAATCTTTATATTTGAACAGTTTAATTTGAAAGATAATCACAAACTGTGCTGTACTAAATTCAAGACCATTTAAAAATTCAAAAGACAGCTTGAAATTTAAAAAAAAAATTATGTGTTAATAGGCTGTTCATTAAAAAAAGGGTTAGAAATGAAATATGGTGTGATCAATTCCTTGTTATTACCACCTTTTATTATTATTATTAATAATTATTAAATTAGTGTCAGTGCGATACAATGTTACAACCGTCACTTTATATGTGACAATATCGTGAATTTATTATTCAGCCTAACTGCCCTTTACTTTTTATTTAAATTCAAATATGGCCTTTAGTTTTAATTAGTGTGAATAAATATATTTATTAAATATGTATATTGTAGTTCACCTGAGAATTGTGTTCATATAGGGAATTTTCTCGAGCGGTTATCTTTAGTTTTCAACAAAACAAAAAATATTTACACATATAAATAAATTTTAGCTAAGAATTAATTTGTAATTTGATCCTTAGTGATCATCGGTTTGTCTATCTTTGGTGACTGGTCTGTCAGATGTGTTTTGACATTTGGCCATCTTCAGTGTTGTGTTTGTGGGTGATAAAACTGGAAAAAACCTCTGAAGATGCTGAAATGTATCTGTCAGAACAAAACAGCAAGGATAGACAGGCAAATGTGAAAGGTTCATCATCCTGCAGACCGCAACAGGAAATCTCATGATTTAAGATTTAATTTAAATTTCTCCCCATCCAAATCCTCTTTTGGGAAAAAAAAACTTCGAATAATATTCTAAACAGATTATGAGAAACAGTAGAATAATATAAGAAAACGTGATTTTGTCATAGGTATTTAAAAATTAAAAAAGTTTGCAGTGAGAATTCAAAATTTTAGTTGTAATTTTGTTTGTCTAGGATCATCGCATAGTGATAAAGAGGCAGAAAGCATCACCCCAGAGAAAGGAGGTGGTGGCAGCAGTGGTGGTGGAGGAGGAGGAGGCGGTGGTGGGCGAGTGGGTGGAGGTGGTGAGAGAAAGCGAAAGCGTAAACCTGACGACTCTGGTGTAGTTGGACTCGGTTTATCTGGGAAGAACGCCGGACGAGGTCTTGTCTCAGACAAGAAATCTCTCGAATATTATAATAAACACCCACCTGGAACATCACCGATAAGGCATGGAGGTGCAAAGAGCCCTTCTCCAGCCCAACCGGTGTACCCGATGGTCTGTTCTGCCCCCAAAGCTGGATGTAGCCCCTCAGACGATGTTGTAACTTTTTTGACTTTCCAGTTTCCACCTTCTCCTCAGCAAGCTGCTACCCTTCTAGGCACTCAGGACTACGCAACCTTAATGCATCCTCCTAAACTTCCTGCAATGCAAACAAAACAAATCCAGGTCTGTAATAATGTTTTATCTCATTTAGAAAATAGTTGCGATCAGATACGTACTTATTATTATATTAATGGGTGGATTAAATTTGGTTGATCTAGTCTACATATAAAATTAAGTAAATGCAATTTAAAATTACAAGAGCCAAGAAAAAAGAAAATTTCATTCATTAGCTTGATAAAAATTGGATAAGAACAATTCTTAAATTCTGTCAGTACACAGTTAACAGAAAAATCCCTATTTGTAACAAAATTTGTAAAGTCCCTTGAATTTTCACTGTTATAACATGAACTGAATTATAGATTGTATCTATATTATATATTATTATTGTTTAATAAGTTATTACAAATTACTTTTTGTTAACATTTGTCAGGGATTCGCTGAAACTATTCTAAGCACACCATACAATATACTTGAAAAAATAGTTTACATCACATTATTTTGCAAAACAATGATATACTCTCACTTTATGAAATCACAGTGAAAATTTTAATGTCCTTGATCCATGAGTTGAAAAAACAATTCTGGAAATTTTGTGCAATGACGCAGTACAGCAAATGCACTGTAGTAAAATGGCTAAGATACTCTTAATTGTTGTACTGATATTAATTTCTTACCCAGACTGATCTGACGCGTCAGAGGATTCAAGAATTTGAAACTCAAGCATCATCGGATCTTGAACTGAGAAATAATAAAATAGAAGAACTAAATAGGGTAAAGAAATTTAGTATCTAGCTTTATTAGTTTACAGATTTAACATAGCAATAGCATTTGAGTGTTGACAATATTTTTTGTTTTAAATTTGTTCAGACAAATGAAGAACTCAGGCATCAGTTGGCAGCGCAGGCCAAAGCGATGGAGCAGCACAAGGCACACACGAATAAGTGCATAGACGTAGTGAAAAAACTCCTTAAGGAGAAGTCAAACATAGAAAAAAAGGAAGCGAGGCAGCGGTGTATGCAAAATAGGTTAAGATTAGGCCAGTTTGTAACACAAAGGGTCGGTGCGACGTTTCAAGAAAACTGGACAGACGGTTATGCGTTCCAAGAGCTTTCTAGGCGGCAGGAAGAGATCTCAACAGAAAGAGAGGAAATCGATAAGCAGAAAAAGCTTTTGACGAAGAGAAGGCCCTCGAATTCTGAAACAGGCCGGAAAAGAGCGAGTTCTCAGGGAAGCAATTCCGGTCCTGGAGCTGGCCCTGTCGGAAACAACCAGATAGCTCTGCATAACGGAACGGACAATTTTCTTAAACCGGAGCCGGTACCTATGATGTCTGCTCAAGAATACTACGAGGCCGACGAAATCCTAAAACTCAGGCAGTCGGCATTGAAGAAAGAGGACGCAGACCTACAGGTCGAAATGGAAAAATTAGAAAGGGAAAGGAACTTACATATTCGTGAGCTTAAGCGGATTCACAACGAAGATCAATCGAGGTTTAACAACCACCCTGTTCTACACGACAGGTATCTTCTTCTGATGCTGCTGGGCAAAGGAGGATTCTCTGAAGTTCACAAGGTAAATTATAACAAATAGAAATTTTACAAATTATTTTCTCTGTACAAAAAATTAATGGAAAAATGTCGTGTCAGGCTTTTGACTTGAAAGAGCAGAGATATGTCGCTTGTAAGGTTCATCAACTGAACAAGGACTGGAAAGAAGATAAAAAGGCTAATTACATCAAGTATGTACAATAATTAATATGAATATATTTTCCCTCAAATGTTAACCTGTTTAACCTATAAAAAATCAAATAGTGAAGTTTTATTGTATGAAGTAAAATCAATTAAACAAATAGAAGTTAATTTGATCTAATAAGGACTTTTTTATTTATAATTATATAACAAAAATATATATTAATAATTTATTATTTGTAGGCATGCACTTAGGGAGTATAACATTCACAAAGCGTTGGACCATCCTAGAGTTGTGAAACTTTATGACGTCTTCGAAATCGATGCAAATTCTTTTTGTACAGTTCTAGAATATTGTGATGGTCACGATCTAGACTTTTATCTCAAACAGGTTACAACTTATTAATTTCACACGTGTTAAGGTGATTTTTAATTTAAATTTTTCTTTAGCATAAAACAATAGCTGAGAGAGAAGCGAGGTCGATTGTGATGCAGGTTGTCTCGGCGCTCAAGTACCTAAACGAGATTAAACCGCCTGTAATCCATTACGACTTAAAACCTGGTCAGTTATTCCCTTGTAATATCAGTTTAAATGTTTTCTGTATTCTAAACGTTGGGTTTGTGTGCTTGTAGGAAACATTCTGTTAACAGAAGGTAATGTCTGTGGTGAGATCAAAATCACAGACTTCGGTCTTAGTAAAGTAATGGATGAGGAAAATTACAATCCTGACCATGGGATGGATTTGACATCTCAGGGCGCTGGGACATATTGGTAATTTTAATAAATTTTCACCCCTTCGTATCAAATAACTAATGCTGTTTCTTTTTTCAGGTATTTGCCTCCTGAATGTTTCGTTGTTGGAAAGAATCCACCTAAAATTTCTTCAAAAGTAGACGTTTGGTCTGTAGGAGTTATCTTTTATCAGTGCCTTTATGGGAAAAAAGTACGTTTTTAAAGTTATTTTATAAGGTGTATTGATGAATTAAGGCACTAATGAGTTGTTTTATTTTTAGCCGTTTGGGCATAATCAGTCCCAGGCAACGATTCTGGAAGAAAACACAATTCTTAAGGCAACAGAAGTACAATTTGCTAACAAACCGACTGTCAGCAATGAAGCGAAGGTAAATTGTATTTCGTGTAATTTGTTTTAAACTGTGTTTATCGTTTAATAACTTGACTGCTTTCCAACAGAGTTTCATCCGCAGCTGCTTAGCATATAGGAAGGAAGAAAGGATAGATGTTCTGTGCTTGTCAAAACACGAGTACCTTCAGCCGCCTATACCGAAACACGGACGCGCTGCTAACAACCAGCAACAGCAACAGCAAATGCACCACCAACAGCAGCAGCAACAACAGCAACAGCAGCAACAACAACAGCAGCAGCAACAGTTTGGGATGTTTGGCGGAATGAATGCTAGTAGCTCTTCATAGTCCTAAGTATGTTCATGGTGTAAATGTACTGTCTGGTCTTTGTAAAATGATGTGTAGTGCATGTTTTTGTAGCTGGAAGTATAAAGAGTCAGGAATTTTCTTTTAAATTAGGTATTTAACTTTTCATTTGTACATTTTTTTTAATTATTATTTTTTTAATTTTATGCAAAGTGACAATTAAAGACAATTGAGAACACAAATGTTTACTTTTTTGTTTTAGGGTCAGACGTCAACATAATCGGTAGTCCTTGTGAAAGAGAGAAACATGTGCACTTCAAAGAAGTGTGTGATGATGACGTGAAAAAAAGTGCTGTGATTTAATTTTCCCCGTTCCAACCCAGTTTTTAGCAAGAAGGAGAGAAAAGATTTGAAACTTAACTTCGGTTTCTATGTATAATCCCTCTCCTGCTATGTTAGCCTCTTTTATGCGAGTCGAAATGCGTTTCCCCCTCCCCTTCTCATTGTTGATTTTATTATTTGATTACGTGTGTATGCTTATTTGAATGTGCATGGATGTGTGTGAGTGCGTATACTTGTGTAGTTGGGCGTGAACAGCAAAGACTTGCGCATCATTTGTGATCACAGAAGGTTTTACCCTGTGCAGATTATTTCTGAAGATTTGTATATATATACATATATATATTAGTGTGTGTTTCGTTACACACACCACACACACATGCTTGTCAGGAGGAATAGTTTATTTAAAAAAAAGTTTAGATAAATAATGACATCAGAAAAGGAAATAAATAAATAAAAAAAGAAGGAAGTGTGTTTTGTGATAAAGACGCTCAGACAATTGAGAAAGCTAATCTTTAATATTAAAAAGAAATGTTGAAAATTGAAAAAGTGTGGACAAATAATAATGGTTATTATATCTTAATTAAAAACAGAATCATTTAAAGAAAAAAGTTCCTTAATCGTTTATAACAATATTTAACTTATTCGCCATTCTGGACGAAAGCTAAATTTATTTATATATATTACTTATATAAAATGAAAGACAAAAAGAAAAATGAAAAAAAGCGAAGTAGAATTAACTTCCGTCGCTGGCCTCTGTAAATAAGCATTTGATTATCCCCTTAAGAAAAAATAAAATTAAGCAAAAAAAATATATATATAATCATATATATATATTAGATAAGTTAATTCTAGGCTAGGCATTTTGTTATATACATAATAAATATATATAGACTTAATATTGGAGACAAGAATTTTCTCTTTTTTTCTTGTTTTTGTTTTTCTTATTGCAATCTCTCTCTTGTTTTCAGTTTTGTTGTCTTTTTGAGTCTAAGTCAAACATATTTCCCACTGTAATATTGATTTTAAAAATGTGAACATGATAAAAACCTTTGTACATATCTTTTTTATACTTGAGAAGTGCATGTCTCTCTTCTGATACGTTGGGAAAGACTGCATGATAATCATTTTTCCTTTTTCCTTTTGTATCTTTCATTTCTTAGAAGAGAGAGGCAAATAATTACAAAAGCATGTACAATTTGTTATTTAAATGTATGTATGTGTGTACATATATACATTGGCACACAACAACCTTTGTAGAGGACATAATCATATTATTCAAAAATGGGGGAAGGAAAAATGACTTTTTGTTTTATATATATTTTTTCTTTTTTCAACAGAGGAGAGATGTTTAAAATAAAAAGTGCAACTTCTTTGTTTTGTATGTAAAATATTTTATTTACTGCTAATTTTATTTCTTCTCGTCTTACGCTTAGGTGAAAAATTGTATAAATAATTAATAAATAAAAAATAATAAAACAAAAAAAAACTAGTGAGATTATCTTTTTTTAATTTTTATTTATATTGAGCAAGAGAGAGAAAGAGAACAAAGAATTCCTCATTCCTTTCCTTTTTGTCATTTGTTTTCTGTGACAACCAGTTGGTCAATTTTTATTATTAAATTTAAAAAATTATTGTAAATTATGTAATTAAAATATTAAAACAGAATTACATTTTTGTCATAAACAATGTATATTTGAACTTTATATATATAATATATCCAATACAGAAATGAGCAAAAAAAGATGAATTTTTGTTATATAGGACAAAGAGAACAAAATACTGAAATGAAAAATAAAAACAAACCATTTTAAAGCATATTACTTTTTTCTTCTTTTTTTGGATTCCAAAGTATCTTTTTTTGAGGCAATCTTAAGATAATTTTTCATCTGTAAGCAATAAGTTTACAAACTTCCAACACTAAAATAACCTAAAAATGGAAGCCATGTAAGTAAATGCCCATTCTATGCCAGTGGTAATAAGTATAATTTTACCATCCTTTTATTCTTTATTTTTAAATTTTCAGTTTTAATTATAAAAAATCACTGTGGTAATCTGTACCCATCGAAAATGAAGATAGGGACAATTATATTTCGTATCAGCTCAGCCCATAAATTATGAGTTAAACATAAAGGTAATCATTAGAATAGGATGGTGGAGTAACTTTCACAATATGTCATTATAGTACTAATATTTGACTACCATCAGCCCTCTCTCACTGCATTCATGCTAATAAATACATCCAACAAAAACCTTTTTAAAACTACATATAAAAGACTGTTATTTTTCAAAAAAATAACAGGGAACCAGCAACTTGCTTTTGTGCTCAAGAACCATTTTCATATCGGCATGCCTCTGGAGCCTAGGTAAGACACATGATGAATCATATCTCTGACCCTTATTGGATTCTCTTCCTCGTATGTATACTGTGGGTAAATCGCCAAAATTTTATAGGTAAAACACATTTTATATTATAAGACAGAATGTGACCATCAGTTGACTGTTTATGGCCAATTCTCCAGTTGGATGAAAATAAGCCCTATTTTCTCACTCATGTGTTATTAAATATATATACTAAGTCATCAAAACATGATTTTCTCGAGAATTTATTAAGTTCATGTTTTGTAAATCATGTGAATACAAATCTGTGAGTAGAACCGTGATTTACAAAAAGTGAATCTACATACTCTTCCCACCTTCATTTCTATATGACTTATATTAGATGCACATTTTTGAAAATTCAATATAAAATTAAGTTCACTAATTTCGTGGTCCGCTTGACCAATTAATATATTACAATTAATTAAGGTTTTTAGTTGAGATAAGAAAGTCAATGGCACGAGCGGGATTCGAACCCACGATCTTCGGCTAGATACGCCGCTGCTCTACCACTTGAGCTATTGTGACCTCGATCCACTTTGACACCAACTTCCCATCTCAACCGCACTTTTTGAAAAAGTAGGGAAAATTCAAAAGGTGCAGTTGAGATGAGAAGTTGGTGTCTAAGGGGATCGAGGTCACGATAGCTCAAGTGGTAGTGCAGCGGCGTATCAAGCCGAAGATCGTGGGTTCGAATCCCACTCGTGCCATTGACTTTTTTATATCAACTAAAAACTTAATTAATTGTAATAAAATTAAGTATTGTGGCACAGGTCTCTTGTACCCCCCTTGAAGTAGAACGGTCTTATACCGGGAAAAATTAAAAATTTTAATTTAATTTTAAGGTTATTTAAATTATTTAAGGTTTAATTAAAAAATTGCTCCAGTTTAAAGAGTAGCACCCCCTTAACAACGTTAGCAATCGGATTTATTCCTCAACATACAGTCTTCATGCAGGAAGTAGATCTTGGTGGTAATGGATCGCTGGAGGACCTTCTGATGATAAATTTCTTGACGGGATTCTCCAGATTCTGGTGTCTGATTTCCTGTACCTAAACTGAGAAATTGGCTGAGAAAGTTCAATGAGGACTATATTGGCCCTGAACTCTGTGGCTTACCAAACTGCCAAAAACATGGATTCATCAGACAATGAGTTAAAAATGAATCCTCTGTTCAGTAAAGAAGCGTGTGAAAAAATTGTCAAAGGACTGTCCCAGAAATTAATGAACTGCTAAATCTAAGATGTGTTAAGATTAGAATAATAGTTGGACTGCTGACAACTGTAGGCAAATGTACCGACATGGAGCAGTTCAAACAAGTTCGTGCAGATATTGCTACGAAAAGAGATAGCAGAACATGTACTCTGTTTGTAAAAATGCCTACTCTTGGAAGAGAAAAACCCCAGGCCTGGAGGATACACATAGGAATCCTTGAAAAAAGCTTTGTAATCTATTAACAAACATTAAGCTTAATGAGGAGCTCAAGACAACAATGGAAATGCACAATGGACTGGTCACAGTGCACAGGTTTTTAATCTAATCTAAACAAAGAACCATCAACTAATATTGACTTGTGTCTCCAAGTCTCCAGTACAGGCCAGTTTAATATCAAGTATTGTGGTCTTTTATTGCAAACATTGGATGGTGAAACGTATATGACCTGGGATGTGCATGTGTCCTCAGATGTGAAGACCTCACCCCGTGAGCTTTGGATGATGTGGTTGCTTATGAATCCATGTACAAGTTGGCTCAGGTGTGGTGCGGCAGTATAAAATATTCCAATAGTGATAATATTAATAAAGGAAATTATAAATAAAAAGATAATGTTTAAATAAATACATTTAAAAATGGATAGGGATAATCTTTATTATTTAAAATCCAATTTTTTATTACACAAGAAGTCTTTATTTATTCAAAAATTTTGAGTTTGTTTCAGGTAATGAATGGCTGAAAAAAAATGAACAAATTAAGAAATACAAATGTTTTTATCAATTTTAATTTAATATGGTGGTAAAAATATTTTAAATCTAGAAATAAGCTAAATAGTGAGCTCTGAACAGGGGGCCAGAGATGTGGCCCAAAATTCATTAGCAATTAAAACATTTTGCATAAAAATAGTATTTAGTTAAGAAAAACTTTCTAGATTTAAATTAAGAAATAATTAAGACCTCTTACATGATATGTAAAGTCAAAATTAATAGTTGTCCTGCGTAGAAAAGGAAAGATAGCGGCCCAAAAATCAAGTTTAGCTCAAGAAAAGAGTGTGATACAATCAGAGCAGCTAACCAGTTGCCGAACGTCCCTAACGACATCACCGCTGATCTCGGCCCCAAGTCGAAAAGTTCTAAATTCGGGTTTAATATTTTAATCCGGTATTTAGAAATGAATAGAAATGTTTTACCTGATCCAAGGAAAAACGGTATTGGCCCTAATCCCATGCCGTTAGAAATTATAAAAGTTACTATTGAGAATATTGACAAATAAGGCATCCAAAAATAGACATCCTGAAGAATAAAATTTAAAAAATAGTATTTCTGGTTTGAAAATAGAGTATTTGACTTGTTTTTACTTTACAAGCTATTGAAGTACTTAGTAAAATTAGGCTTGTTATTACACAACAGTTACTTGTTATTAGTACAGTCCTTCTTGGGAAAATTTTGATAACATAAATCACTAACAATGCAGTAATAGAATTATTGCACCCAGTTAGCAGACTCGCATACTGTGACTGCAACTCTGATAATCCTGCATCTTGAAAAATCTTCATGGAATAGTTGAATACCTAAAAAAAGACGGTTCAATATTTGTTATTTTTAACTGGGTAAAAATCATCATCATTACAGCCACAGTCCCAGCAAATTGTTGGCCAATCATTATCCAGCATGTCAGAATTAATTTCGGCCTTAGACTCTTGTCTTTGATAAGTCTCATCAAAGACCAGTCCTGAACATTAGATTCCTCCTCCTCTAAATCTTTGACAATATCCATCGGCGTTTGACTCAACTTGGACATTTCTAAAAGAAAATTATTCAGAAGTAAATTACACCAACCAAAACTTTATTTATTTACCTTCCCTGGCTTTCTTATTATACCCTTTAGAAAGTAGATACTTAGGACTTTCAGGGAGAAATGGAACAGCACAGGCTGCTAGTAGGATTAAAGGTATATATGCGCTTAAAAGATAATGCCAATAATCTTCTGTGCCTGAAAAACACTTTGGATAGTAATAATATAAACTTAAAAGTTTATCAACTGATAAACTTGTTTGTTATCTTCTGATCATCCTAGTCTGCTTATACCACCATATTTATGTGTGACATTTCAGCATTATTCCATCTTCAGAGGGGTACAAAGAGGCCAATAAATTTATAAAGGTTAGTTCGATGAGGACCTATTGGCTCAAAACTCTTTTGCGCCTCACCAAACTGCCAAAAACTATAGATAAAGTCGGCGATGTATTAAGAATAAGTGATTCAATAGGATTTAATTCCAGGGCTGAGGCAAGCAAAAAGAAGGTCATCAAAGGGCCATTGTAAAACTAATGGCAGACCTAGTAAAACTAGGATGTGTTAGGCCTATAATAAAAGTACTGCTGCCTGGGCACTGCGGACCCCAGAGGCTGTCGAGACTCGGTGCGACAGAAAGAAGCCAGTGCAGACATTGCAGGAAGAAGAAGAAGCAGCAGAGCATACTCTATTAATGCGAAAGCTTATGCAGGCTGAGATTCCTACTCCTTACAAACACTCTGGATCAAGTTTTGATCTCGAAGAAATTCAGAAGAATTCAGTTGCTACTGCCAAGATTTCGACCTATTTTAAGATCATCATCAGAGCAAAACAATGTTAAATATATTTACAGATTGACTTGAATTTCTACAACATAATTGATTGTCATATTCCTGGGAAAAAACTTCAAAGATCTTCATTTGAAGGATATGAAGACCTTAACGAGGCTTTGGGATCTGGTAAAAAGTCTTAAGCTTATGAGGAGCTCTAGATAATCATATGCCCATATGTTTGTTAGTTGATAACCACAATTTTTATGTAAAGTGTGGTTGAGTTGAAAAATTAGTATCACGAACGGGACTCAAACCCATGTCCTCTGGCTCTATACCCCAGTGCTCTAACCACTTGAGCCATCGTGTCTTCGGTCTCTCGGGACACCAACTCATCTCGCTCTAAAAATTGGAACGGGGACCCAAGTACTTAATGCTGGGCTGACAAATAGCTAATTAGTCTTAGTTAATAGACAATTAATATAAATGATAAAGGTTGGGAGAATATGTTGTTTAATCTCTTTAAAAGATAGTTCCTACTCACAGTTTGTAGTTAGAAATGATAAAGAAGAATAAAGAAAAAACTGTGAGTAAGAAATATCTTTTAGATTAGAGATTATAAAGATTAGTCGTCAAACACAAATTTTGCGCTATTAGTACCTAAGGGCACTCTCAACACGACACGCAAGAATGGCACAATTACGCAGAAAACAAACACTTTGAGCCCTGAAGATGATCTCAATAAAGATCGAAACGTTGGCACGATAAAGAAAATGTTTTTCTGAAACCTACATCACACCAGACTGCATCTCACGATTTCTGAATAATAATAACCAAAATACGAAAATGATGATTATTTATTGGACAGGAAAAAGTCTAAAGAAAACTAACGTTCACTAATCGCGGTACCTAATATCATTTTGAATCCCAAAGCTTGTGCCAGGAAGATTCCAAGCGAAAATCCAAAACTGGCAGAAGCTCCTGTAGTACCTCTTAGTTCTGGTGGAGAAATTTCATTTAAATAAACGGGTAAAATAGCTGTTGTTAATCCTATAAAAAAAATAAAAATTACTACATATAAAGTATAAATTACTGGAAAAAAGCCAATTTACCAGTTGCATATCCTGAAATAAACCGGCTCAGCATTAGAACTTCAAACGAGTTGAGCGTCTTCGATGATAAAGCTAAGAGAGCACTGAATAAAAATAAAGATCCGCTTAGAACCAGGCCACCTTTCCTTAAATCGGTAATTTTCATATAAATAAACATTAACTATTGAAATTTTAACCAGTATTAAATATACCTGCCAATTCTATCTGCTATTTTGCCATTTAAAGCTCCTATTATTCCACCAACAAAATAAACAGAGACAACCGCAGACCACAAATTGTTCAACTGTCTCTCACTGAAAATAACATTGTAGTGATATATGGCAGATTCATTACACCAACTTTTGATGATCTGTAATAATTAATAAAATTAATAACTAAAAGAATAAATAATTCATAAATTAAAAAATTTAAAAACTTGCAAATAAGTAACTGAATTGAATAAATTGATGAATAATAAATATTATGAAAAAAACAAGTGACCTTTTTCTTATCCTTATATAATGTTAGACAAAGCGGAATAATTTACTTGTGAAAATGAACTAAATAAGTGAAATTGATAGGTACTGATGTTGGTGTATTGAGGACTGCGTTTACAAAGCCTCCAGGTAGAGACGATGCAAGGTTTGCCGAGCCACAAGCTAAAAAGAGTCTCCATTTCCAAGCCTCGGCTCTGAAGACAGGCCAAAACATGTTGGTACGAGAGCTAAAACTCCTATGTACAAAGAAGGATAAAATTCGCCATGGGGTGATCGGTCAATTTAAAATTTACACCGAAAAGCGGAATTAATTTTCTAATTGTCTTTTATCATTTGTTTGTCGAAAGTGGGAATTTTTAACAATGGAAAAAGGAGAAAATTGTGTATTTTAGAATTAGGCTGTTTTTTTCTTATCTTAATGCGGCAGCAACTGGACAATTTCTATTAAGATTCTATACCAGCCGTCTATCGTAAACAAAAACTATAAAATATTCTTAGTTTCTTTCCTTGTATATTTTCTAAATAATCAGATTTAACCATTTTATAAATTTACAAGACAATCAACTAATTTTTGTTATTGGTATAACAAGAAGCTCCAGTTATAATAAACGTTACTAAAGCATTAGCTGTTAAATTCTAGAAATTTTAAATCATTGGAAAACCTGAGAAGATATTTTTTCCATCAATGCTTGAGTAAAAGTCGAAGGAAACTTTTAATTTTCAAATCTCTCAAATTTCATGCAGGACACACTGCAGTTGCATGAAGTTGAGAAAAAAAACATGTATAAATCAAGACAAACATTTTCTCAAGATCAAGGTTTCAACCCAAATGAGGAAATTATACTGATATAATAGAAAGATCTAAAGAAGAAATATATTTCTGTTCTGCTATGTTTCTGGACATATGTCAAGCATCATAAGATCTGTCATGAAGGCTTAATACATTTTTCTATGGTTGAACTCTGGATCGTGGTCTTGATTAAAAAGTAATTTCAGTTGTTACTGCCAAGGTTTCGACCTATTTAAAGTCATCATCAAGGCAAAACAATCTTAAATATGTAAGTCATAAGTTTTTCATTTTTTTTTTTCAAATTTCTTTGAAGACCAACTCAGTCCCAACGTTGCCAGAATGGTAACATTATCATCCCCTTCGGGGAAAAAGCACTTTCAGGTAGTCACCCCTTGTGATTATAATTATAGTCTGGATGATGACCATCGTAACATACTGCTACACAGATGGATCACTTATCAAAGGAAGAGGGAGTGGTGCAGGAATCTACATACCAAAATTAGGAATCAGCATCTCCTCCCCTCTTGGCAATAACACCTCCGTTTTTCAGGCAGAAATCTGGGCCTTCAATGTGTGTTGTAGAACAATTATGGAAAATAAAATTAAGGGAAAAGATATTAAAATCTTTTCTGACAGTCAGGCTAGTTTTAGGGCATTACAAAAAGATTTGTCAACCTCACGACTGGTGGAGGAAACTATAGATCTTATCAATAGGATCTCTTTCAGGTTTGAGAATAAGGTAACCCTTATTGGATACCAGCACATAAAGGACACCATGGCAATGAAAAGGCGGATGGCCTAGCCAAAGGAGATTCTAATACTGCGTTTGTCGGGCCACAACCGGTATTACCTCACTCTATGAGCACAGCGAAAGAGAGTATCAATAACTGGGGCATGAAACAATTCCTAAGGGAGTGGAATTTATCCCCCGGACACAGGCAATCGAAAGAGTTTGTTAAGGCGATCAAACCAGCAGAATCGAAATGGCTATTCTCTATCTCAAGGAAGGGAATTAGGAGGCTGATAGGTATTCTGACGGGCCACTGCCCACTGAGAAGACACCTCTTCATAATGGGTACTCTACCAGACCCCTTTTGCAGCTTCTGTGAAATAAAAGAAGAAACGGCTCGATACTACCTCGCAAAATGTGATAGGTATGCTAGGTCTAGATTTGAAATCTTTGAAGGAGAGGACATCACCAAATCACTCCCTGAGATTAAATGGTCCAAAATCTTGGGGTTTGTGAACAAGTCCAAGAGGTTTATGCAGGACACGTGAGCCGACCAAGTCCCGGACCTTTTAGGGATGGGGTACGAGTCTACCCAGGCATTTAACCCCTCGGGTCTTGGTCGACCACTCTGCATAATATAATGTTATATATATATAACATTCCCTCAGACGGTTTTAAACCATGAGGAATGTCTTTTTTGCTTTGTAATATATAATGCCGATCCGTAAACTTTGTATATATATTAAACAATAAAGACTTATAGTAGTAGTATATATAACATTATCATCACCACATTGTCATTATGAAATAAATCAAATTATGACAAAATCTCTCACCTTTAAAGGCCTGGAAAAACGAGTTTCCAAAATTAAAACTAATTACAGAATTCTCCCCATATTTGACCCCCTTTGGTTCGCTAATGTTGACCAACATCTTGATGTTTGCTGCATTTTAGATGCTGAATGGTCTCCTTTGAAGTCGCACATGCTCAAACACTGTCTGAAGGGATGATGGATGTCCTTGGGTTTTACAAGACTAGGCCTAAAAAATTGTTGACCCAAAACCATTAAGGTATCATTGTCAGTCTTAAAAAGTACAAAAGCGTACTCCTGGTTCTTCTTTCTTCGTTTTTGATATTTATCTTGAACCATTTTCTGATATGGTGTGAAATAGTTTCAAGTGACACGCATTTTTCCTGGTTGAGGCATATAAAGAATGTAGCCATGAAGTCCAATTTCAGGTCTTACTTAAGTGTAGCACAATTTGCTAGGTCTGAATTCTTGCTATCATTTGAATATCAATTATCATCAGTTGATCGAGGAAGTTTTACTCAAAAGGATAGCATTTGAAACTTGGGCAGACCTGGCGTTGGTTTATACAAAGAAATAACTCCTGTTTTATACCATTTAAAATTAGCTTTTATTGTACTATTACGGTTCTTGGTGGGGATTGAGTCGGTTTTCAAAGAAATTTGAAAACAACTGTGAAAAACATAATTTTGTCAATGTGTAAATATATTTATGATTGTTTTTCTCTGATGATGACGTTAAAATGAGCCGAAAGCTTGGCAGTAACAGCTGAAATTGCTTTTTCATCAAGACCGTACCACGATCCAGGGTACACAAACTTAAAAAAAAAAAAAAACAGTATGTACAACATCTCTACTCCTCTCAGACTATTCTGAGTAAAGCAAGAGGTTAGATACGCTGGTCATTTAGAAATAAAGGCTGGTGTTGCCCAGGGAAGTGTCCTAGGACCAATCCTGCTTTATACCAGTAGCACCAACAGAAAACACATTTGTGGATGACACTGCAGCTCTGTCAGTGGAAAATAGCATTTTGAAGCATCAGCTAGAAAACTGCAAAATATAAACAACTGGATTTACAGATAGTCAAAAGTTAGGAAAATTGAAATAAATTATTTTAAGTCTGTACATTAATTTTATATTCACTAATTTCGTGGTCCGCTTGACCAATTAATATATTACAATTAATTTTATAAACAGAAAAATCACAGACAGTACAGCCAATATAAACAGAAAAATAGTACCGACACAAATCATGGTGCAATAACTAGGAATGACACTAGATTCTAAACTGAAATGAAGAGTACATACAGAAAAAAATAGAGAAAGAACTGAGCCTTAAATATGGACAACTATATTGGCGTTTTTGGAAGAAAGTCCCATTTGTCAATCCAGAATAAAATACTCATTTATAACCAGATCCAATCTAGACCAATTGTCAGGCTGCACCAAAAAGAGTAACATAGCTGTTTTTTTAAAATTCCAAAATTTATTTAATACTTTGGTATTAAGGAACATGTGGTTGCCCCTTGGTATGGAAATAGATATTGAGGTCACACAATATTGTTTTTTTTTGATTATGGTTTGTGTATACCAGAAACTGGTGTTTTTCTGAGCACTGCAGCTTTGGTAGCTCACAATACATGTGTAAATTGAGCCGCCTAGTGTTCTTCACCCAAGAAACTCATTTTCGAAGGGGGACAGGGCTGAATTCAGGGTCGCTGAGAGATGATCCCACCCCAGACCTTTCACTGATGATTGTCAACGTTATTGCGGCCCCCACTTCCCTTATGTGTCAGATAATCCAGAGGCAACAGTTGGAATTGAACCTATGATTATGGGATCTGCTAGACGAGAGTCTGATGCCTTAACCACTCAGCTACTTTGGTCCCAGGTCACACAATATTCCCAAAAAGCGTAAAACTTGTCTCCAAGGACTTCCAAATATTTGAAGCGAGCTACTGTACTAACTACAATAACAGCCCTTGTGAGAGAACTGAATAGGACCAAACCCTACTACTTGCTTTCTAGGTATTGAAATAAAAAGATCAGGGATGAAGCAGGTGGAAAAAAAACCACTTCTTTTTCTGCTGTCGAACTTTCGGCTGTATTTAATGCTTTCCTCACAGCCGGAAGCTTTATTTTTAAGCTGATAAATCTTAAAGGTCGATACTACACTCAACAATATTTAACAGCGGAGTTGCTTTCTAGACTTCATGAACTTTAATAAACTAATAAGGACACTAGTTGGTTAAACCTAAATTTAATTTATTAAGTATAATAATCAATGAAAAATTAATGGCTGTACAATTTCTTTTAATACAGTATTTATTTATAAATAAATTGATTAATATTTTTTTTCTTTCGATAATACAATGATTAAAACTGCCTTATGACTTGCCAGTGCTAACCCCTTTTTCCAAACTACATGCCATATCAACTGGCATCGGTAAGATTCAACCCTCTTTCAATGAGTCGCCGTGTCAATGCTCTAATTGTCCCATTTCCATCCTCTCAAACCTGTCCATGCCCCTAGAAAGATTAGTCCAAGCACAAGTCTCCAGGCACCTTGAACAGTCCCATCTTCTCAACCCCCTCCAATCTGGCTTCCGCCAAGGTTATTCCACCCAATCAGCACTAATAAAAATTACCAGTGACCTCCACTTAGCAATGGACCAACGGAAAGTTACTATACTTGTCCTTCTTGATTTTTCTAAAGCCTTCGATTCTGTCCCTCACTCTTCTCTCCTCTCTAAACTCGAATCTTTTTCCTTCTCCGCCAGCACCATCCGTTGGTTCCACTCCTACCTTACCAATCGCCACCAAGCTGTCTCCCTTCCCAATGGCCTTACCTCCTCCTTCCTCCCTCTAAAATCTGGGGTGCCCCAAGGCTCTAGCATCTCTCCTATCCTTTTTTCCATTTATATCAATGATCTGCCCGACTCCATCCAGTCCTGTAACTATCACCTATATGCCGATGACTCCCAAATATATATATCCTTCCACCCTTCCGATCTTCACTCGGCCATTCTTAATATCCAAAAAGACCTAAACTTCATCAACGAATGGCCCCATAAAAATTCCCTAGTCCTCAATCCGTCCAAATCCACCGCCATAATTATCGGGTACAGGCAACTCCTCAATTCCCTCCCCAGCATCCCACCTCTCATGCTAAATAACCATCTCATCCTCTTCGGTTAAAAACCTAGGAGTAGTATTTGACCAAAACCTTTCCTGGCATTCTCACATTTCCCAAATTTCCCTTCATTCCATTGCCTCCCTCAGCCTGTTTCGTCGGTCCTGGCTTCTCTTACCTTTCTCCACCCGCAAACTCCTTGTATCTTCCCTTCTTCGATTATAGCTATTTGGCATACGGTGGTCTCTCAGAGGGGGAGAACACGCGATTGAAGCGTATTATGAATTGTTGCATAAGATTTGTGTACGGCACCCCACAGGGATCCCGGGTGTCGGGGTTGTATTCCCAACTTTCCTGGCTATTCCCCTCGTTCTGTGCACAGTATTTCCTAGGTTGCTTTCTTTTCCAGTCCATCCACACTCGTCGTCCTCCTTACATCATCCAATCCCTCCAATTCAACTCCTCACATCTCACTCGTAAGACCCGCTCATCCCCAATCGACCTTATCCTTCTGCAACATACAACCCATACCTTCGAAAGATCCTTTCTGATCTGAGCCCCTAAACTCTGGAACTCCCTTCCCCTTTCTATTCGTCACACTGCCTCCTTTTCCTCCTTTAAATCCCACTTGTATAATCACCTCCTCTCCCTCCAAGCAGAGACCTCACGTTAACATTTGTTATTTTTGTTTAATATTCTCGTAATTTTTTCTTCTGTCCTGTCTTATTGGTATACATTGTGCCAAGATTTCTATCTTTTTTTTTTACTTTTAACTTCATAGAAGGAACTTCTTTTATTTATTTCATGTAAATTATTCTTAGGGGATACCAGTCCTAGAATAAAGTTATTTTTCTTCTTCTAACCGTCGTGGCCACTGATGCTGCCTTTTACCCCCTTTAAATGATTTATGAAATATTTATTATTATATTTCGGGCGAAAATTTTTGTTTTGTTAATAACAATGAAACAACTCATAAATTAAGAATAAATATTCTAACTTTATTATAATTTTAACAGTATGAAATAATTATACAAAAAATGACTTAATGCATAGAATTTTTGAGCATTGGATTTAACAGTATAATCATACAGTCTCTAATGCGTAAAAATATGAAAGACTTCAAAACAATATTAAATAAATAAGTAAATCATCACAAAAAATACTTATTGTAATTTTCTATTTGTGGTAGAATTTTTTTTGCCATGTTACAATAACTACTACACGTTTGCAATGTCATGATGCAAATAAAAGAAAAAAAGTTTAATTAATTTCATAACTTAATATGTAATGTATAAAAGTTATCGAAAATATTCATATTTATAAATAGTAATCAATAATTAAAAATTTTAAGTAAACATTTTTTATCCCTGATACTTTGTACATTAAACAATCACTTTGGACTTCTAAGCATGAGATTTAAAATAAACAATTCTAAAATACACAAATACTCATGTACAATGGTATAAAATAACCATATTAGGAAAAATTATTGCTTAGGGCATCTAGAGAAAAGCATTTACAGTTGCATTCCGTAACAGGACATTCTTGATGTTCCCTGCAAATAAATTATTTGATTAAACACAGCATAAAAAAAAGAAGCAGTGAGAAAAAAACTAACTTAAACCATTGGTTTATATGGGAGACATGTCCTCCATGTCGGCAAGCTTGACACCAGCAATACCAAGAGTCAAATGGATTCAACTGTAAAACATTATTTAAAAATTAATACTTGAAAACGTGAAAATAATAGAACAACTTAAACAAATTTTCAGTTAAAATTAAAAAAAAAATTTTTTATTGAAAAACATGTCAAGTAATGTTTATGCTACAAAGTCAGACCTGCCACCGCATAAACAATAGGATATACCTCCTACTTAGATAGCAGACTTACATGGAACATACATACAAGATTAAAAAGACAAGAACTTAACAAAAGCTCCATTATGTTTAGATCGACCTACCATTAATTAAGTTAAAGAGGATCAGTTAGATACTAATTGACCTCCTCTTTAACACAAGTAATAAAATATATGAACTACAGACACCTTCTGGGACCGAAATCAACACTAAGCCTAGATAATAAAACTTATCAAACCAATTTAGACTTATGTGTGAGGATCGTCGGCTAAAATAAAACAAACAGCAGTTGAGGAGAAGTGGACGATCCACACAAAGGGGAGTGGAGGTTTGAGTCCTGTAAGGTACCGGAGTAACAAGTTACAGTATTGTAATTTTTTTTATTTATTTATTTATTTTTATTTTTTTTTTTTTTTACGAGGGTTCGCAACAGCAGAGGTTATATCAACCCACGGGGTGCCGGTGTTTTTGAAAAAATGCAGGGCCGCTGGATTCGAACCTGGGATCTTCACCTTACAATGAGTGCCGTGTCAAAGACTAAACCTTGCGGCAACCGACGCCCCCTAAGTGTTGTAATATTAAAAATATCATTAGACGAGATCTTGTTTCTTTTCTATTATTTACAAGGTATTTTCATTTATTGTTTTTTAAAGTAAGTATCTTATGCCAACAGTCATTGGGAAATTAAGAACTTGTTAACTTCATGAAATTGCTTGAAAGGAGTAATTGCTTCTTCTGCGCAAAAGGCAAAATTCGAATCGAGACACGTAAAAACAATGGTAAATGCGTTTGAGCAGCAATTTTAAAAAAGTTACCAACAAGACTGAGTCAAAACAACTTGTGACCCCTGTAAAAGACATCAAACCAGCTGACCAGACCGAATCATTAATAAAGAACGAATCAGACTGTGATGAATGTAGTGAGAATGTATCTGCATCAAGAGTTCGTTCCTTACCAGAATCCTTATTCAAAAAATTAGTGCCACCTATATATCATTCTAGATTGACCCCTTCACTTAATTCAACATCAGAAACGGATAGCGAATTGCACACAAAATTTGAAAAATTCATTTTCCTAATAAAGAAATTGCCTCAACACCTTAGAGAAAAACTAGATTCCTTACCAAAATTAAAATTATATAATTCGGAATCCATCATTAAGTTTTTAAAATCACTGAAGTCACAGCACGACATAAGAAAACATTCTGTAAAATTCTTTCATACATTTCCGAATCACAAATGACAGGTTCAGTATCTAATATTATAGGCCAAATGGCACAAGACAAAATTATGACATTTGATAAATTTCGAGATGTCCTATTCAACAAATATACTGACCCGGCGAATCTTTTTTTCTCTAAAATTAAAATATTTAATGCAATCTCATGGATCACAAGAAGGCCTGCGAGATTTTTTTGATACCCAAGTGTTGTACGCAAAGATTTTCGGAAAGCAATTTAATAGATATAATTAAACAACGAATCCATCCCAAATATTTATGTTTATAGGAGAAAATTTCAACACCTTGGCAGAATTGTACGGCAAAATATTGATTAGAATTGAGAAAGGCAATTAGAGAACAAGTTTCACATTCTAGAGTCACCCTGTTGGGCTCAGCCAAATCCTCCAACATCCAATGAATCCAATTTTTTCAATCCGTTCTCCACCATTCCTTAGCCCTTCCTTCTACATCACCAATCAAATGATCCATAAAGATCTAAAAGTCCCATTCGTGAAGGAAGTGATAAAAACAACCGTCCTCAATTTCCACTCTAGTCTATCTCTCCACTCTCCTAACCCACTAGCCGAAACTCTTTCCTCTTCGTGATTTTGCCAAACTTGAGCACTTTACTGTGACAATCTAGTTCAGCTGGTAATTCACGAGTGCATTTTGTAAGATTGGCCTCTCGTAAAGCTGTATTATTGGTCACCCTGAAACTCGCTCTAATCTCAAGTTTGTATCATTGTGTTTCTAATATTGTAACAGAGACATTACAGAAAGCCAAGTGAGAAATGAATTCAATAAAAATTTCTAAAAGTTATACAATTTTTTTTTTACTCCTACTATACCTGTAGGTTAGGTGGGTTTGTAATTTCTGGCTGGTAAGTTGAGGCCGTTCCCATGTGCATTAGGCAGATGGCACACCGAGGCTGTGGCTTTCTACAATTTGCACAACAGCTCAGCTGAAAAATTGTAAGAAAAGATTAATTTAAAAAAATAAACCATCATAAAAATAATAAAACAAACCTTAGATCTTGGATACTGTCCTTTATTCTTTGTTGCATTACGAATAGAATATGTACTTTTGCCGCAAAAGTTACACGAGACGTAAACTTGCTGTTCGGGCCTTGTTGACGACCTGCTGTAGTACCAGATATCAAACTGGGCCCTTTGCGTCCACATCCTCCACATGTCTAATAATTCTCTATAACTATATTCATTTTTGATCAGTTTAGCAATGATAAATAAAAATTACAAAAAAAGATTTACCAGTTTATCCAATACTGCGCTCTTTCGTGTTCTAACAGCAAAGGCGGGAGAGTACGCATTACAACCACGCTTACGGTTTGTATGTCGCAGGAATTGTCCAAGTAGTTTTGAAACAAAGGAAGCACCTGACTGCACATCCCTATGAAAATGAGTTTGACATCATAATAATCACAACTGTAGTTATTCTTTACCTGTCAGTAGGATCCCGGCTAGATTTCCCTCTGATGTCAACGAATCGGAAAGCTGGGTAATAAATTCGTTGAGTTTGTTGTCAGATAAGAAAGTCAAAGCGAAGCCTATTCTGTCTTCCACATCCATCCCTTGTTCATTCTAACACAGCATACATTTTATTAAACAGTTTAATTATAAGTTTTATAAAATTACTTACAACTACTAGTTCATAATTATCAGAGTCAGAAGTTAAAAAAGCGAAAATCGCCCTTAAATACGGGTCACCCAAATTAGCCCGAGATGCGATACAAGATTCTCTCCAAACGCTCGTTTTGTCATCCGTGAAGCCTGATAAGAAAATCATATATTTTTCCCCCAATCCAATGAATCCTTAAAAAAATATTGTCTTACCTGACAGAGCCATAGATACAGTATTGTGAGATTCAGATAATATTTTAATGGCCTGTTTCAACTTAAGTCCAAACACAGCAAGTGATGCCGCTTTTGTTACACAGCCTAAAATAAAATGTTTAAATATAATAAAAAAGGGATAGAATAATGATAACATAAAATAAATATAATCAGCCAAGTGGTGAACTCCTCCACCTTAAATTAAATTTGCGAACGCTTAACATATCTCCAGCCCAAGGGAAAAGTAAATTGGCATACACCAAAGCATGCAAGGAACGGAACTGAACCACACGGGATGAATTTATCAGGTGGAAAAAATCAAAGAAGTTATTGACATCTTAACCGACTTTGTCTTGAAAAGATAGAAACATCAAAACTGTCCTTTGTGACTGCAAAGCCTTGGCCCAGAAAAGGTACAGCCTCTTTCGAAAGGCAAATACAATGGCTAAACAAGTAAGCGAAGAGGAACCACAGAAAATCCTAAACCACCTTAAATGTTGTGTACTCATTGAGGCATGGAATTACCCAAGGGTCAAATCCACCAAAGATCTTTTAAGTTGAGTGGAAGAGGAAGACTTTGGTTACCAGTGACCCAAGAGAAAGAAAAAATATCACACTCAAAGAAAAAGAAAAACCACTCGTATTTTGTGTTTATTTTAAACTTCTCTTTCTTTTTATTATTATATTAATTACAACATATTTATTTCAATATAAACTAAATTAAACAAGATCAGAAATGAGTTTTATAAAAAATATTTAATTAAAATGGTATGAAAGAAAATTTACCAAAATGTAGAAAATCTTTTAGTGATAGATTAAAATTTAATTAAATTCACTAATTTCGTGGTCCGCTTGACCAATTAATACATTACAATTAATTAAGGTTTTTAGTTGAGATGAAAAAAGTTAACGGCAGGAGCGGGATTCGAACCCACGATCTTCGGCTAGATACGCCGTGGCTCTACCACTTGAGCTATCGTGACCTCGATCCACTCGGACATCAACTTCCTATCTCAACCCCCACCTTATGAGTTTTCCCTCCTTTTTGCCANAAATAAGAAAAAATATTTGTGCCACAAACTCAATTAAATTAAACGGAAAAGACAAAAATTGGGACCTGATCCAAATAAATTATAACAAAACCTTAAAAAAAAAAAAAACAAATGTATACAGATTTGAAAAAAATATGTGATCTTTGACATACGCAACTAACTCCTTGCCATTTACATAAAAAAAGAGCAGGTGCCTTCAAGCAAAATTGAGAGAGGGTCCTTCCTCGTCCTTTCGTAGCTCAGCTCGCACTGCCCGATCCTGCTGTTGGGGATTAGCTTATCCTTTGAGATAAGCTTCTCATTTTTGAAAATATTGTTATAGATGAAAAAAAATGGCAAAAAGGAGGGAAAACTCTTAAGGTGGGATGAAGACTCTTGAGTTAGGAAGTTGATGTCCGAGTGGATCGAGGTCACGATAGCTCAAGTGGTAGAGCAGCGGCGTATCTAGCCGAAGATCGTGGGTTCGAATCCCGCTCCTGCCGTTAACTTTTTTCATCTCAACTAAAAACCTTAATTAATTGTAATTAAAATTTAAATAACAATTTATTACTTAGTTTTGCACTTAATAATACGTATTAAGTTTACTGGCCTTGCGAAGGGCCTAGTCTCCTAGGCATCGAATAAGCAATCAGATTTTGTCTTGTGAAACAGAATCCCATTCTTTAACAAAGTCGTTTCAGGTTGTTGAATGATGTCTCACCCTTAAGTGTTCTATACGATTCATGTCACGAGAATGCGATGGCCAATTCATTGTGGAATCCATACTTCCTCCAAGTAATAAATGACAAAACTTGAGCCACCTGTGGTCGAGCATTTTCATGCATTAACACAAAGTTAACTCCAATAAAAGGAGTGGCTATAACCACAGCTTTCAGATGAACTTCCTCAATGTACCTTAGTGCAGTCAATTATCCGTTCTATATGATAATCAGCTCGGTACAGGCATGGATGCTGATTCCACCCCATAACTGTCTTTGAAAAGGCTGTGACTCATCACTGTCTGTGTCGTGACTGTCATCTGATTGCCACAAACCAAACCGGAGTTCATCTATGAACAACCCAGTTCAACTGTCCAAGCAAGATGTTGATTGGCGAACATTCTCCTTTTTACTCAATGTAGAGTATGAAGCCTTCTGATGACTTTTTTTATTTAGAATTCGTGAAATGCGATCTGGTGTGATGTAGGTTTCAGAAAAACATTTTCTTTATCGTGCCAACGTTTCGATCTTTATTGAGATCATCTTCAGGGCCTGGGATTTACAAA